ATATTAATATTACAAAATATATTGAATGGCGTAGATGAAATTTACCTTTTGGTTTGATTTATTTTCGACAAAAAACAGTACAAGCTGTATGTGACGTTGTATGAGGGAGAAACACAATTTGGTCACTTTTTCTTGAGCTTCAGAGTCTCTTACCCCTTTTATGATACATAGTTAAATGATGAACCAATAAAGCGAGGTAAGCAACATTTGAGAAACTAGACATTTTCGCTCCCAATATTACATTATTACTCTTATTATTACCCGATCTCCTTATTATGAGCACTTTGGCTATTCCATTCGCCGGATGATTGTTGACTCGGTAACTTTCGTACAGTTGAAATTTCATGTCTCATTCCTCGCTGTGGCCACTTCGCTTTCAATATTATCAGGCGAATAAATTCGGCAACGCCCAGGCCTTCTGTACATTGTACAAATCACGCTCCAATGTGCTTTTTCAAACTATTACGCCATTATTTGTCGTTTCCGTCTGCTTGCGTCTTCTGTATCGATTACCGTATTTTGTCAGACCCTATAATTAAATTGCTTGCCTATGTTGACAAATGTCACTAGAGATAATTTTAATCCAGTTTAATTCTCAACGAAGCATCACGAAGGGTCTTTCATTGCAGTAGTGTCAACATTGTTACAAGCAATCCTAATACTCGTTAAAAGATTTTTGGTCACGCAGGCCCGATCCACGGGGAGGGAAATCCCCCCCCCTCGAAAAAAAATAATTTCAGTAACTTAATTTTAATTTGTCACGAAACTTTCAAGCAAACATATTTTCGGATAATCATTAAAATGAATACAATTCTCAGCATGAGCCGCGTAGAGCTTGAAATAATTTACAAAATCTGTAATGATAAGGTGGCCAATTTTTCTAATTAAAAAAAGTACAGTGTATATGAAAGAAACATTTTATTAATTCAAACAAAAATACACTAATTATGCTTACTTCCCTTTTAATTATTGAATTAAAATAGTATTTTTCCATCGAATTAATATTTATGTCAATATATCATTTTCTAACAATATATTGGAAATTTCGGAGCAACAAATATCCTTCATATCGGAGCTAGAGTCCCAACATTCAATCGTAATTTCTCAATTGATTAACTCAATTAACACATTAATATGAATACATTAGTTTTAAAATAACGTCAAGGAGAACAGATAGGAGGACACTTTTTCAGGAAGGACAGAACCTGAAAAAGGACTATCCTCCCTAAAAGAGGACGATTGGTCACGTTAGTAATGACATTTTTGACCAAAACATTTTATAATTTCCACCCCCCCCCCAAAAAAAATTAACTCTGGATCCGCCCCTGCATTAATATATAGTATCTTTACACTGTAATATATTTACTATGTTTTTTCAAGAATCACCATTCAATAGTTGACTTGTTGGTCCGCGTAAGGGTACAAATCAGGCAACTACTTCATTCCTCAAGGTTTCCTACGTCATTGTACAAACAACGCGCCAGAGGCGGCCTGGGGCGATCGGCGGTTGAAGACGCTTCGCAGAGGTGCGAAAGAGAGATCGACTCTTGTTGACTTAGCCCACTGACGCCTCAAAGCCCTTTATTCCCGGGGGTCTGTTTGCACTTTCTAACACGCGACCGCGTCTAGCACATCAATTTGCAGTGTCATAGGGCGGAGGTCACACTAGCCATCTGCAACAATGCGGACTAGAGATTGTATTTGTCAGACACACTTTCCACGCTGATGTGGCATTTTCTTGCGTAAATTTAGGTTTCGTGAAGCGAATTACCATTTCAATGATCACGCAGGCATGTTGAGTTGCTTTTTAATGCGATTATGATTGAACGTAACGTAACACCAATTGTACAATCAGAACAATATTTCTCAGAACATGAATACAGTAAGTAACCATCAGTGTATGAATTTGTGACTCCATGGATGAATTTTCGGCTTTGGGGATAATCCACGATCTTTTTAATTTTTTCCAGATTTTTTTGCAATGATAAATTACAGTATTAAATAAAAATTTAAAACATAATTATGTGATGAAATATACTTAATGTGATGAAATATACTAAAATCACAAATAAAGAAATGATATTTCACTGGAAGAAACAATAGCTGGTGACCGGCTTTTTTAAAAATGTTTTTTTCCAAAAATAAATTCGTAAGTTGCAATATAAGATTATTGTACATTAATTCGTTCTTTCGAATATGTATAAAAAGTTGTTTAAATGCATTTTCGTTTTGATTTGTGTTATTTTTAATCCACTTGGCGGATTATTCGGTTATCCGCGATTGCCGCACCATACTATTCCGCGGATAATCGGGAGTTTACTTTCTCGCTTTTAAGATTGATTCATACATGCACAGATGTCTGAATACTTCGTCATCTAGTTAATCCTATTTTCCAAAATTTCTGTTTCCAAATTAGTGTTTCAGGTCTATCACACTTTAACCTTGTAACTTCAAATTAACTTCTCCCCATAGCACGTCACACAGTTTTTAACTGTTTTGA